TTATACAAATGTTTGTATCTTCAAAACAGCAAAGAGGAAACTCCAGGATTTGAATCCACAGACAGGAAGTGATGACAGTGTTGCCTTCAGGGACACTAAGGAAAACTCCATGAGCTCTTGCATGGCCACTGAAACTCTGAAAACTCTAAAATGGGCGAGGTGGTTATTTGTAACCTGTTTTGGGTTGTTGCGCTCTCAACACTTCACTTTGGAACCTTAAAAGAAAAGAAATAAAAACAAACACACACACACACAGCTGTAAAGTGTACAACATGACATACACTCATTTACTAAGAGATGATGGATTTTCACAGTACATCATATGACACAAAAGAATGTCCAGAGTTTTACATATTGCTTTTGCTATAGCTTCTACCTACATGTGTCCACTGTTTTCAAACTCAGGAAGTCACTTTATTTCCATTGAAAATACATGCTGTTTTTTCAGCAACTCACTCATTAAGTTTCTTATCCATATTTTCCATCAGGGTAAAACCAGCAGTTTGCAGCCGTCTTGAACCTTCACCTGTGGCACGACTCCGCTCATGGTTTTAGTTTGGATACAGAAAACTAACTAAACATTGCTGCTGTCCCACTATTTGTTATAATCATTGAAAGAGGAAAATGTGATTCTACAATTAAAAAACAGAAAAAAGGAAGGAGTACTGCACAATACTGATAACCTGTTTAAAGCTGCAAATGCCAGTGAGAGGTAGTTGTTTAAAAGAAATGGATGAATTCACCTGCTGTTTGGGGGAAAAGCTGTGAGTTTGTTCATCGCTTCATGTGAGAGAGGTTTAACTCAAACCAACAGTGAGCAGACCAGAACATTAGCTCATATGTAGGAATGATAAACCAATAGTCATAAACCAGCTTAAAACTGTGTGTGGGTGGTCAGAGGCTCAAACGAGAGATGAGATGTTTCGGGGTCTATTTTAACAATCCAAAGCGCACGGTCTGAAGCGTGTGGCGCAAAGTGCATTTAGGGCGTGTCCACGTCACTTTTGCTATTTTAACTGTGGGAAAAAACGGTCGCTCATGCCAGGTGCGTGGGTTAAAAGGGTTTTACTTAGTCTCTTAATCAATCATGGGAGTGTTTTGGGCGTAACAGCCAATAAACCAATCACAGTGCATCACCCATTCCCTTTAAAAGTAAGGCGCGCTTGCACCTTGGCGCATTAATATTACAATGGTGCAGTGTCTCACACACAGCTGGATTCTAATTGTGACAGTGGGTCCAGTCCCGCCATGAATGCAGCAGCTCTGTGCGCAACGAAGGATCACACATCTTTTATGTTACATGATGAGAAGTGTGTATAAATCTTCGGTTCGTTATGAAACTGTGGTGACAAATTTAGGTGATGGATGGGAAATACTGTGGAGGATGTACCAGGTAGTAAGAAAGAGCGATTCTCTGCAGAGCCTCATGGCAGCGTTGTACAAGCATGTCACAAAGAATGCTCTTCTTAAGACACTTAAGACCAGGTTTGGCGGTCAATCGTGCCAATGCCCCGCCACACCACACCTCCTTTTAAGACCAACGACCCATGGGTGCTCAGATGGGCGCAAGTGCATTTGCTTTTCAAACAACGTGGGCGCTGGGAGGGGAAATAAGACCTGTGTTGGTCTGAAACTTGCAAGGACTCTTTCGAGCACTACGTGACAGAGTTGCCTTCAGAAATTCTCAGAAACAGAGCTCTGATGTACCATTGTCGTGACTGCTTGCACATTTGGTGCAGCGCAACATGAGCATCTAAATGTTGCGTTTGTGGACTCACTTTTTCTCTTGCTTTTATTTCTGTTTTATGGGTTTTCTTCAGTTACAAGGGGACTGACAGAGAATAATTTTACAAAAATACATTTTAGTAGATATTAGATTTTTAACAGACCCCTTGCTTTTGTATTTCTTCTGTAGTGGGACAACCAGTTGGAAAGCTGAGAAGGCGGGGGAAAGACAATGGAAGATTTTGTCATCATTCATCTCTTAACTAGCTACTGTATTCGCATGTGTGACGTACCGGTTGCCAAAAAACTTCCCACAAGACCAACCAAGCCCAGACACAGTTTTCCCTTCCTCATCTCTTGCCAAACAATATGGGAATCTACAAGTAGAGGGGCCTACAAGAGGAAACAGGTACCTGAGAAAATTATCAATAAACATTTCATTGTCTGTACATGTAGGTTTATCTGAATATATTGAGGTTAACTGGTCGCAGTGCCACGTTCTAGCAAGCACAGAAACCTGCTTCAGCCTCGTGAGTTTACTTTCTGAGTATTTTTCTCTTGGCCAGGCAATCTCTCTAGGACCACCTTGTCAAAAAGGGCCAAAAAAATGAATAAATAAATTTAAAAAAGAACAAACCAATGAGATAAAAGCAAACAGATAACACAACATGTAAAAATCATTTCATGATCCATCAACAATCATGTATTAAGTAAAGTATGGGTAAGGTAAGGATGAACATTTCTCTTATGACAGAAACCAGGAAACACAACTATCACAATGTCCTTCCATGTGAATACATTTAAGTTAACAGTCTGTCACAGAGCCTCAACTGAGCAGACAAATGTTGTGTTGTACAGGAAACACAAGAGCAGTCACAAGGCCTCTGAAACAGCACTGAAGGTTTACAGCATGTCGGCAAGTTAACGTCAACAAGAACTGGATGTGGTGTTCCAAGATGGCGTCCATTCATCTCTGAGTTTGCATACCTCAGCCAAAAAGCCATATTGGCAGCAGAACTGACTCTTCCACACCATGACCAGATCGTTTGACACGTCCATCATTACAGTTGAACTGAAATTAAAATTCATTTTTGCTAAGACATGAGAATAGAGTTATCCTTGGTGTTTGTTTTGACTTGTATACTTTTGCTCAAAAATGTAATTACCGACAAAATTTGAGTTTTATTAATTTTTCTGCCAAGATTTGAGTTGTTCCAATACTGATACTAGTGTCAGAAATGCCTCCGAAATTGCCAACAATGGGGTATCAAGTATTGGCAAGTGCGTGAGTCTATGCACCAATCTGATGCTATGTAATTTATTAGTAACCTTCATAGTTTCACACCCAGATAAAATGGCAGTTTTCCCCGCAATTAATTCTTCTTCGCCACTCTAAAACAGTAGCTTACAGAGGAAGTCCCACCAGTAAAAAGGCAATGTGCACAGTATGGAAGGCTTTAATTAGGAGGGGCTGCGATAGTGTTAGCACAACTAGTGCAGGGAGTGTTATTTATTTCAGTATAAATTTTTTTTATGATTGACGATCAAATTAGATGATGAAAGAAAGATTCTATCATTTATGTATCTGTTCATGTTTTACAAAGGGTTTAACCTGAGCCACGCCACAATGACTGCAATTATCGACTTGCCAGGAGCGGGTGGTGGTGACTGTCGCTTGAAAAGAGCTTCAGCCATCATTGCGTTTATGAGAGGTTATAATATGCCCCTTTTTCTTTAGTGCAGATTTGAGGCTACAGTGAGTTGCTATCGGAAAGTGACGAGACGGGCCAGGGCTAGCTCGTTGGCGTGCTAACTTCAGTAGAATAAAAGAGATGATAGAGACAAGAGTTATTATTGGTGTTCATTTCCACCACTGGAGACAGCTGTTGGTGAGTAAAGGAATTCATTTTGATGCTGGACTTGCAATGTTTCTTCTCGACTGGTAAGTAAACAGATATTAATGCTAACACTGGCTATGTAGCGAAAGCAAACTTAACAAATACCTCGTTCAATTATTGCCTACATTTTGTATCATCACTGTCAGCTGTTGAGTTGGGCAAAAGTAATTTTGCATCTATAAAATGTGGAGCATTTTATTGTGAGACTGTTAGCAGAGGAGTGTATATGTCTTCGACACTTCTGTTTTTGTGATCAGAGTTCGGACACTGAAATAAAATGCCATATGGGCGCACCTTTTAGAAAATAGTGAGTGATGTCATACACACCATTGTAGGCTATTAATGTTTGCGGACAACAGGGCTATGACTGTGACTATGACCAATACGTACTACATCACAGAAGTTGACAACATATCTTCTAGTCCAGTCTCCCAAATGTCATAGCTTATATTTCCATACTGAAAACGCGAGAAAAATTCAAATTTCAGTTTGACTTTAACATGCAAAAACTAATTTAAGTAGTATGCTAATAAGTTACTACAGTATACAGCAATAGTTAGACCAGATAGTATGTTAGCTAGCGAATAAGCTGAAATGATCTAAACATAAAATCAATCAGATGTATCAGTGTTAAAATGACTGGTTCAGTCACACAGCCCAATTACAAAATGTTTACAGTTTGTGTATCTAAACAAATCTCCAATATGGCTGCCAGAAGATGACACCATTAACTTTTTTTATGCAAGCTCTTCTATCTTGGTGGTAGATTTAGTGAAGTATTTGTTCCCTTGATAATAAAAACAGATCATTTGTACATCACTCACATTCACAGTTTGCAAAAGAGTCGACTTTCTCTTTGCATTCAAAGCTTATTAAGTGTAGTCATTAGATCGTTCTACAGACAGCTGTATAAATGCACATGGCTGACAAGAAAAATGCTTCACAGTTCATCTGATTCTGAAACTATAACTTGGAGTGGAATCTGCGTGGCATACAACAATGTGCCACATTGGGATGTGCAACCATCCATCAATACATGGGGTGGGGTGTAGAGAAACAATGAGCAGCAGCTGTGTGTAGACTGACAATTCAATTTTAGTAAAGTGTGAAAATGATTCAAAGTGATTCCTGAATTCTATGAAGAATAAGCTTGAACACAGTAAATGCTGTAAAAAAGAAGAAAGGTTCGCTCTTCTATGAGGCTGATGTGCTTTGAGCATTGAAAGGTGTGGAAAATGTGTAACATTGGAGCTGCTACAAATTCTGTTAAAAACAAAAAACATAAAAAGCATAAGCACATAAAGCAGGAAACTTCTGACAGTCTCCAGCACTAGTAGTGAACCACAATGTCCATCAACCCATTTAAGTGTTCATTAGTGAATCTGTTTATTAGTTCATAGTTGTCTTTATCTCCACTCTTCCAGGTTCTTGTAATATTCGTTTGTTCAGCCTAATACAGTAATTATTGCTTGTCTACGCTATGAAGCTAGTGTGCCTCGCTAAATAAGTTATTTTTACCAAAAAGTAAAAATTATAACACTTTATCAGGTGAACAGTCAGTGCGAATAGGAACAACATACACACCCATTCAACCAATGTAGCATTGCACATTCAATCACACTGAGACCAATGAATCAGATGTCATGTTCAAAATTAGGCTGTGATGTTTTCAATCACAGCTGTACTGTGTCACACACACCAGGACACAAGAGACACAGACAAAGAATATATGGACTGAATCACCCGAGCAACACAGTCCTGAGGCCCAGCTGAGGCACCCATACAGACGTGTGTGTGATGTCACACTGCCGTGTGTCTTGAATTTTCATTTTCATTCCTAGGTAACGGGGTATTCTTCCTGGTGAACTGGCTGAAGCTGGCGGCCCTACATCTCACCCTCGGCCCTCCTCCTCCATCTTCAGTCGTGGCCTGTGTGGGGCCCGGGGGTAGAGTACTGTAGCGGCCTGGAAGGGGGATGCCCTGTCCTGGATGGGGCACTTGGCTGCCTGGCTGGGGGGCGGTGTCCTTGGCGAAGAGGCTCTGGATGAGCTGGAATTTTTCCTTCTCTTCCCTTAAGAAGACGTCAACCAGAAGCTTCTTTTCCCGTTTGAGCTGCTCCATGATGGTTTTGGGGACATCAGGGATCACCCAGGCAACCACAAGGCTGAGGAACATCACCAGGTTCTGGAGGAGAGGGAGAATTGAGAGATGGATGAGGAAAGTGACAGGAAAGTGACAGGTAAGATGAGGAAAGTGACAGGTATCAGAGGAGAGGAGGCTCTGAGCCTCACCTCTGATTGGCTGGCTGTTTTCTGAGTTATCAAATAAAAATATATCAGATTTCAGGTAAACACTCAGAGAAACCAAATCCTGCAAGGTTGGATGGTGGGTTCAGGTGGAACAAGGCTCAGAGCAGTGACTGCTTTTTTGTGCCAAGTTACAGAAGTCCTGACAGCTTGTTTTAAGGCTCAGTTTCTGAAAACAGGCAGCATTTCTCTGTGGACTGAGCGCTTTAATACTTTGACAGTGTTAATATACAACCTAGACCTGCTTTAAAATAAAAAAAACACAGGAACATCTACCTTTATATAATATGGGATCTTTAATAGATTTCATGTCTGTCCTATTATTCTCTGTTTTGGGTATAATCATGCTCTAAGTCTTGGAACTACAGTTCAGATAATTTTGGAGCTTTTTTGGGATGTCAATAGTCAAATGTTGTCTTGGATTCATTGAGTTGTATCATGGGCTACAAGTTGACCATAGTTTTTTACTTGTATTAGTTAAATTTTTTTAGTTAGTGTTTTTATTTGATTTGATACTAAACTTGCTAAACTTCACACTCTAACTAAAGACAACCAAAATGTGATGATTCTCAAGCCAGTTCTGGAGTTGGAAGGAGCATCTTTTTTCTTTTATGTCTATGTGGATATATGGACATTTATTCACAATAGACAGCTGAGATTATGATATCAGTGAAAAGTATAAGTCACGCTCATTCTACAAATATTTGTGTTAGGTCTGTGTGTTCAGATTTGACTGAGTTATGAGTCTGAGCAGGACTGGGCACCTGTCCATTTAAACTCACTCATCAACAGCATCTTCACCTCACGTTGCGTTGGGAATCGCACCTCACAGTTTAAAAGCCTCTTATCAAGAAACTCGAGAGATGCAAAGAATCTCCTGAATCCTGTTCATGTGTTTGAAAATCAAGAAGAATGATCTATCTGCAGCAGTAATGAACGGAAACTTCTCCAACAGCTCTGCTGCTGAAGGACATTTGGTAGACACATGTCAGTGAGGCATGCAGGCAGGCAGGCAGAAACGAGCTGCTCGGTAACTGACCCTGACTATAATGAGAGAACAGCATGATCCACCTAATTAGAAATGACTGGCCCACACACACATGCACACACAATTACTTTAGCCTTTCTTTTATTACACAAATCAGTGTTGTACAACTGTACACCATAAATAGACACATTTGAAACCAATAAATGCAAAACAGCGTTTGTGCTTTTTACTATACTGCAGTGTAACTCATGTACTGTAAAAATCCTGAACATGTGTATGCACCTGTTAAAGACCAAAAGTTTAATTTGCTTAATTTTTGTTTTGTCTGCAAATTGAAATAAGCATCAGCTCATAAACAAAAAACAATGAGCTCATACCTGGAACAGTATGACGAAAGCCAGTCTTGCAGCCAGGACACACCAGTACTGTTTGGAGAACTGGTATGCATCTTGAGACCAAGGGGGTTCCCTGTAGTCTTTGTACCTAGAAGAAAACACAAATGGTAATAAAAAAGGAGAAACTCATATTCCTTTTGGTTCATTGATTCATGCCTGGTGGAAAAAATTATCTAAATGAGCTTTGCTTGGAATGAAGTGGGTACTTAGCCAGAGCAGTAACATGGTTAAACACTAAGAGGACCACCCACAGAAAAATAGTCTTTGTCAAAGGGTAATCCAAGGAAGGCCTCATGCACACTAGCCCCTCAGAGACCCGCTATATCCCTTCAGAATATCCTTCATAAATGCTGGCCTTGCTTGTTTGCACCTAGTAGCAACCTCCTGGGGTGAAAAATTGAGACAACGCGGAAGTGAAAAACATGGCTGACTACAAAAGCGTGTCAATCCCCATAGACTCCCATGTTAAAATGCTCAACTTTACAGCAGAAATAAACATGTTTACAGCCTCGTACAAAAACAGTTTTAGCTCTACAGATAATTTCCTCCTTCATGATTAACTGTACTGGCGTGAATTTTTATATAAATCACCTGTTTACATATTATTAAGGCATAAAATTATGTATAATTGAGGGCGTGGCCAGTTTGAGTAACAGGTGGGTGTCGCCACAGTTGGCTATCAGCAAGACGTCCAGCTGTGCCAACGATGCTAACGGAAACATATGCTTATCCCAGTTAATAAACTGGCATGCACCAAACTCTTTTGGATTAGCTGAGAATTAGGAGGAGTCAGGCACTGCCAGGATGGCAGCGGCGGAGCAGCCCACTCCAAGCTTTAAAACCACTCTGCAGAGGCCTGTGGGTGACATCAATGGTTTACACTGAACCAAACAAAGGTGGAAAATTGCTGCCACAGTGTGTGATTTTAGATAGCAGAGGTGTGAACAGCGTCAGCCTCTGTCCCACTACGTTGAGTCTGCGATGTCTTTCACAGCCGGCATAAAGGCAGAACAACAAGAACAATTAACCTTATTCAGTGTTTTTACTGTTTATACAGAATGGCGGAAATAAGCAACAACATTCTCACCTTGAACAAGCTGTGTGAAGGGGGTTTCTGTTTGAGTGACAGGTAATTAATGGGAGATGCAGCCCAGAGTCTTGGACTTGTCTCAGACAAAAAAACTTTCCTCCTATGCTATTACAGTACCTTCACCTGATTTATCATTACCTGGCTGAGATATAACATTACAACACAGCACTCAGCTTGGTATCTGCCTCAAATTGCAATAAACTTTATTAGGATTCCTTTCCTTTGTTTTCTTTGTAGTAAACACTCTTTATTGTGCTGGCAAAACAAAAAGCAGAAAACTGGAACCACATGTTGAGCTAGCAGCCAGCATGCTCAGATTGAAGAGAGGGAAAAAAAGAGACAGCCGAGAGGAGAATGAGAAAGAGGAAAAAATGATAAAGAACAAAAGTAAGAAGAAAGAGAGGAGAAAAAAGAGTGAAAATAACAAGGAATGAGAGAAATAATAAAAAGACAAAAGAAGATGTTTTGTTCCTGGCTGGAGATAAAACACAACCACATAAGACTTTATTTGACTGGGCAGGTTGAGGATGTGTTCTCATCTGGTACCACACACACACACACACACGCACACACACACACACACACACACACACACACACACACACACACACACACACACACACACACACACACACACACACAACCACAAACTAACACACAGCTGTGTACCTCTTTTGGCCATCAGAAATGTAAGATCCAGTTTCAGTTACAGGTTTGATTGACACGTGTAAATGACAACATTTTCTTCAGTGAGACTTTGCTTGTTTATTTATATAATTGGGCCACATTTTGGTTTTACTTTATTGCCTCAAAAATAAATAAATAAATGAAAAAGTTGGCCGGCTGCTGTTTTGAACAAAGCCAGCTGACTCAAGAATGACTATTGTGTGCATAACTTGACATTAAGTGCACAGTCTGCAGGGTTTGTGCAGAGTGTGAGAGATCATAAAAATGAAAACATGGTGTAGTAATGTAAACAGACAATTCAGGCACCAGAGCTGGGGTAGTGCAACAAGAACATAGCAGAGAACAAAGTAAATGATGTCTGGTTGAAGCTACAAGTTTAGGAGTGTCTCTGTGGCCCGTCAGTCTCAACAGCATAATGTGTGAGGAAACCTCTGCTCTCAAAAAGGCCAAAAACAGAATAAAGAAAAGAATCATGGGAGAATCTGGGGGATCATCATGTATGGACAAACATCTGGTTTCAACAACATACACACTCTAATGAGACAACCTCTTATTTTCAGTGATTCCTGGTACACAGCCAAGCTGTTTCCTGTTGGATGCAATCACTCCTACATAACATAAAGAGGGTCTCACCCTCTAGCTTCTACTTTAAGGTTTATTTATAATGTAACTATTTGGAGGCAGTCGCTCATTTGCATATGGAAGTACAAGTGAACACAGCCACATTCAGTCAAAATCAACTCTTCAGTCAAAAAGCCTCAAAACCTGCAGCACATAAGGACATTCGTCAATGCAAAGAATAAGTGACAACAGTTTTATTTCCCAACTTTAATCAGAAGTGAAGTTGAACACTTCCTTCTGAACATGAACCTGATTCACTGAATTATTGTAAATAGTGTAGATGCCTTTATGAAACGATGACTGTGTGTAACTTTTTATAAACAGCAGTCACAAACTGTAATGGCAGCATGATTAGGCAGAGACAGATGGATGATCCATCTGGGACTGAAATGTTGTTACTTCGTTAAATATTGGGTGGTTTGGAGTCAGACACATGAGTTGATTTTTTCATGAATTTTCATTTCCCATCAGCTGCTTTAAAGACATGATCATTACTATCAGCAAAACATGCCCCCTTCTTAAATACATTGTGTTAACTGCTAACTTTTTTTTTTTTTTACAAAACCACTCAGTTGTTTTATCTGTGACACGCTGAAACACACTGTGGTACAAGTGAAGACGAGTTATGAAGTCAGTGAACTGACTCAGTAATGTCAGCTGCATAATAATATCAATCCGTATGGTTTGCTAGCATTAGCTAACATCGACCACCATTATCTACATTTACATTTACATTTTTATTGACATTTACTCATGTGTCAGATACTTTTATCCAAAGTGACATACGAGTGAGGGACATCACTGAAGCTTCAGTGCAGTAGGAGACCTTGGTGTAGGTATGACATCTATTTAATAAGTGAAGGAGATCAGGTAAAGAAATGCACAGTAAGAGCTAGTCAGACATGTTGGTGTGTTGGAGGTGTTGGATAAGGAGGTGCTCTCAGAAGAGATGAGGCTTCAAGAGAGTCTTGAAGATAGAGAGGGACGCTCCTGCTCTGAAAGCATTCAGTAGCTTGTTCCACCATCAGAGAACCACAGACCGGAACAGTCTGGACTGAGACCGTCTTGTGTGCAGGGAAGACAATGCCAGATAAAATGAAATAAAGCTGAATAATGAGTTCAAGTAATTGGAGCAGACCCAGAAGTCACTCTGAAGGCAGCATTAGTGAATATGATTCAGGCGGCCATGGGTAGACAGTGGAGGTCAATGAGTAGCAGAGTGACATGTGCCCTTTTAGGCTGATCAAGGCCCAGACAGGCTGCTGCATTCTGGACCATCTGTAAGGGTTTCACTGTGTATGAAGGGAGGCCTGTCAGAAGAGCATTGCAGTAGTTGAAGAGAGAGATAACTATGACCTGCACTAAGAGCTGGGTGGTGTATTGAGTCGAGTAAGGCCTGATTTTTCTGATGTTGCATAGAGCAAAGCAGCACAACTGCAAGAAGGATGCAACATGATCAGAGAAGAGAGCTGGTGATCAAACATGACACCCAGGTTTCTTGTGACCTCAGTTGGGGTAAGAGATGAAGAGGTGATTTTGATATTGATATTGTGATGGAGACACTGAAGAGTTTAGTCTTACCAGTCGTATCAGGCTGTAGCAGCAAAAAAAAAAAAAAACTTATTGAAGAGAGGAGTGTACAGACTCAGCTGTTGTGTGGTCTGCAGACTCTCCTGGCGTTATGTTACAGTACTGCCTTTTCCCATGGGACGTAAAGAAACATATAGCACTCCTTTCAAGGGAAGATCTGGGAGAGTCCCTCTCATTGTTAATCTTCAGAACATCTTTAGGCAGAAAATCGCCTCATCCTCCCAAACCACTGAATGCACAGAAGAGATTAAAGAGACTGTGATTACAGACAAAGGTCTGCATTATGTGGAGCCACAGCTATAAACAGAGCAGTTTTCCAGTCAGCATTAGGACATTAAGATAGACATCAGAGTCAAATCATAAGAGTAAACATATTCATCAACTATCTAAGCACATGGCCAAACAAAAACACAGAAAATCAAGAGCATCAAGATGAAAACTCGCCAAGATTGAATCAAATAATTACACGAGTTCTCTGCAGAATAATTCTGCATATTGTGTCCCCATAGCTCATGAAGAGCCACTGGATGATTGAGGCAGAGGCAGATCCTGGACTGGTAAACATTAGCTCATGCAACCGTGAGTTTATTCCCTCTCTAACTGTGCGAACCCAAAAGTGTGACTCCCAGCTCTGTCTCTGTTTTCTCACATTTCCTGTCACTCTCTGCACGGATTTTAAAGGTGTGGACACAACTAAACCTGCTATGACGGTGGTTCTCAAAGTGGGGTCCAGGGACCCCAAGGGGGGCTTTGAAGGTTTGCTGGGGGTCCCCAGCATATTTCTGAAATTATGATATTATATTATATAATTTGTGTATTTATTTTCACTATAATTCTATCCATAAGTAACGCAACGACAGAATGTGTGGCTATTTTGGTTGTGAGTTTCAAACACCACTGTTCTATCAGGCTATAAAACTAAAACAGCAGGTTATAACTTAATAGGTTTTGCTTGTAAAGTACATACTGATCTGGTGTCTAACTTTTGATGTCTCAACCAATCCCTGAGCTCTGCCGCTTGTCAATCACGACCCCATCAAGCAATCAGACGAACCAAAACAAGATGTTTCCAGCTGCCGGAAGCTGTAAAATGAAATGTC